CTCCTAGCCTGTAGGATTAATCACTCCCTTCCTTGTTCCAAATCTGTTGCTTTTATTGGTGGGAAATACTTGAGTTTTCTTTTTCTGACAGTTTCCCACCTTACACAGGCTCTAACTTTTCACAGGTTTTGCTGTATTATTTATTTATTCCTACTGTACTGATGAGTTTATAGGTTGTGACTTGCCTAATGTGACAAAACTAAGTAACAGAGGAATGAGAAAGGAATGAGAAGTCAGGTCTCCTGATTTCTAATGAAGTACTTTGTACCATGCCTCCCAACACTCAATTCTATTTCCATTTTTGTAGGATGTGAACTTTGCAAAGAGGGAAGGCCTGACATTGTTTGGGCAGATAAATGTGGGAGGGTTTAATTCTCTTTCAGGATCCTAGACAAAGGTGAGTTAGGGGCTTCCCCTTTCTCTCCTCCTCCCCAAAAGGGTTTCTCCTACTGACATGTAACCGTATCTGACTAGTGCATATAAATCTGACAGCCCATCATGTTTCATTTCTAGGGACCAACATGTGTATACACAAGTACCCATGAGTTGTCAAGGTGGCTGTGAGGGACTCCTTTTTCAGACTGGTCTTGTGACTATAACTGTTCCCCTTTCTCCTGATCTGCAGAGCTTCCTGAACACTCCTGGGGGTGAGGGGAGGCCCTGATTGTTGTATCCCTATTAATTCTGCAGGCAGCAGATGCTGAGCTTTCCTCACCTCCTGCAAACTGTGCTGCACATCATCCAGGTGGTCATCAGCTACTTCCTCATGCTCATCTTCATGACCTACAACGGGTACCTGTGCATTGCTGTGGCAGCAGGGGCTGGTACAGGGTACTTTCTCTTCAGCTGGAAGAAGGCAGTGGTAGTGGACATCACTGAACACTGCCATTAACATCAGACTCCATGGTGTGGCCTTACCAATTGCAATGGGAAGCAGCTTGAGACTGGAAGACATGAATCCTGCTCCAGTTATCCCTTCTTGCTCCTTGTCTCCTTACACACACAAACACGCTTGCTCAACAGAGGTTTAGCTTATAGTCTCTGAGTTCAAGTGGTAATCTGCCCAGACTTTTCTTCTAATAAACCGAGATTCCCGTTTCTCTTGAGGAGAAGCCACCCATGAGATGTCATCTTGACCCCATCAACTTAGATCCAAGTTATATGTTCTCAACTAATCCAAGTAGCTGTATATTCAGTGACATGAACTCCCAATTCCTTTTTAATCTTTTGAGTTTTTTTAACAGACAATATGTGATTTGGTCATTTTGTTCTGGGTGAGTGATTTAAAGGGATTATTAACGTCAGCCAGGATTGATGGGATCTGAGGAAAATTCTTGCCCAACTAAACCGAGAACCCAAGTTCTAGTTTACCTGAATTACTGAGAAATACATTGTGCTTTTCTCTAGGTGTGATGTGAAGTATGGTGGGCAGAGGGCAGAATTTGAGTCTCAATTCAGGCATGGAGCTTGCAGAAGTGTGCATTCCTGGGCAGCTGACTATCAACTTGTGTCCCTGCTTTGATTAGAATGAGTTTGCCAATAATAAAAAAGACAATCAGAGAAAATAGAAATAGATATTTTAAAATAAAACTGTCAGTATTTTACTTTGACTTGGTACCTTGTTTGTTACAACTGAATGAAGCAAAGAGTTTGATTTTTCCCATTGATTGTTGTGTCTCTGCCTCCAAACCAGTGACTTTACATTTCTGTGAGTGAGTCAGAATTACTTGGAGGGCTTGTTAAAACAGTGGTTGCTGGGCCTTACCCCCAGAACCTAAAATTGGTTATTTCTAACTAGTGCCAGGTGATGCTCTTGTTGCTGGTCAGGGACCACTTTGAGGATCTCACTGTTAAACCAGGGCTTCAAACCAGTTACTTCTGGGTTTCCCCCCTGCTGAGAGTTTGCTTTTCCATCCCAGATGCATTGAATTTTACACTAACTATATTTTAATAAGATTCCCCAGGTGATTTATATATATATATTCTTATGAATCAGAATTGCCCAGGAATCTTGTAAAAATGTAATTGCTGATTTTATGTATCTGTGGTGGAAATGCAGCTTAGCTGCAGGGGGTCAAAGCAGATTGAAGTCTGATTTTAAACTAAGGGAGCATCACCTGCTGAGGTCAACTACCTGGTAGTAGGCACAGGAATTTGCATTGCTGATTGGCAGGTGGTATCTTGGGGTTTAATTCATTAAATATTAAATTCTGACCAATTACTTAATCATTCCACAAACATTATTCAGCTTCACCTGAAATGTGTGTAGTGCCAGAACACATGTGCAAAGAACTGCAGGCAGAGTAACTTTTGTCAGCATGTATGAAGTGACTAGTCTTTGTTTTTAAAGATCTGTGGCTTCTTGGAAGTAGCTTGAAGGTTGAATGATACCTTTGACCTGCAGTGTAAATCAGCAAGTCATGGATCAAAGGGGCAAAAGTTCATCTTTTCCCTTTGAAGAGGCTTAGGGGATGGCCTCCTGAAGGCCAGGTTTCCCTCAGCCCCCAACATCCATGTCCCCACTCGCTAGATCCTCATCCTCCACATAACCATCTTCATTACTCATTGGGGCTTCATTAGGTCACAAGTGGCCAAGATTCCCCTTCTCCTTAATAAAGCAGCATGGTGGAGTTTTCTCTTTGGTTGTTAGTCTAACCTGCTGTCTTGTTCCCAGTTCAAACTACCTCTGTAAAGTGACTCTTCCATTAAATCCTGCCTCCTTGGTGCTAGGCTCCAACTGTGCCTCAGGGCAGAGGAGACAAACAGAGCTATCCTGTCTTTGTTGTGATTTTGAAGTTTGGACTTTCTCTGTGGGTGCCAGTTATATATATTGGAGAGTGAGAAATAAGTACTATGTGCTTTGAACTAAGAAAGGGTTATGAACTGACTAGATCGAGGTTAAAATCCAGGAACCAATATTTAGAGCTCTGCTTTTTCAGTCCATCCCCCTTGCAGTACTGAAACTTAGGTCAGCTAAACCCGAGCTGAGTGAATGACAAAAGTCCAACATTGAAGTGTAAATAGCCTGTTATTGTCTCAGATGCCAAGGAATAATAAAATCAGGACAAATGAAATCAGAATCAAAGTTTAGTACTGAGTCTGATGATCTCTAGATTTCTTGACAGGTGCATCTGCACCTTTATCAGAAAGATTAAAAAAAAGACCAGTTAAGACAGAGTGTTATGTATTTGAAACTCAGACAGAAACATCAGTTTGGAATTGGTCTTTGAGTTTTCAGGATAGAGAGAAGCTTGTGAAAACCCAGAATTTCGAGATTTTTAGACTAGGTTACCAAAGTGTAAAACCAGCGAAGAAGAAAACATGCAAAGCTTAATCCCAACCTTCCTAAACTCTTATATTGTAATAATGAAATTATCTCATTAGTTTTCATTTCTGAATTCCTATTCATTTGGAATTCATTGCCTACCCTGTTTTGAACCCAGATTTCTCTTTTCCTCCTTCCCTGCCACATCTATGAGAAGACTCTATCCACATTTCTTTGGCTCCTTATTCTGATGTCATTTTCCCTTCCCCCCAATTTCCTTTCCTTCACACATGTCTAGTGTACTAAATCTGCCTTGCTGTCCTGATGCATGGACTTTACTATACAGTGGATATAGATACCAACCGAGAGTCCTAAAACCTGCTGCTGCTAAGTGCTGTGGATTCCGACTCACAGCAACCCGGTATAGGGTTTACGAGGAGCAGCTGGTGGGCTTGAATTGCTGACCTTGCAGTTCAAACTGACCTTGTGGTCCAATGCATCATCCTGCAGCGCCACAACAGGACTCCCTAAAACCTGCTACAGACCTAAAACATGCTTCAAGAAGCAATTGCCCCACTGGAATTTCTGTGCTATTACGTAAAGGGCTACCTGGTACCATTCCCCCAATTACAAAATTTTTGGTGCTGTCTTCAGTATATGATGGATGAACACTCAGCTCCCCCACTTTGTCCACAAATGCATTCCTTACTCTCTCCACCAGGGAGTTAAGAGATGAAGGTTTCTTCCTGGTGTGGCACTGTAGGATAAACACTCAACTGCTGACCTCAAGGTTGGCAGTTCAAACCCACCAGCCACTCCTTGGAATCCCTGTACAGCAACATGGCAGGGTTCTCTGGAGCTTTCATGTTGGAGCAGGGCCATTGGTTTTATGTTCTGGTCTCAAGAGTCTTCTTATAAGGAGTTGGAAGGGCAAGGGATATATTCATGTCATTTTATTTCGATCCTGCCCTCTCTAGCTGCTTTTTTCAGAATATACAAAGATACAAAGTCTGCATTTCATGAAATGCCTTAATCACTGGATCTACAATTACTGTTGACTGTTTTAGATTGTAAGCTCCCCGGAGAGCAGTATTGCTGTAGTAGGAATGTTTGAACAGCGTCATGTGCAAAAGAACAAAATAAATATTTTGATTTTGTGATTCTTTGCATGTCTTTCTACCCAGAGAGAAACCAGACTAGCTCATTTCTTCAGAACCCTCACAGCGTCTTGCTCCAGCACCACTCCTAGTCTCTTCTAGTATAGTAGGAGGGGCATAGATTGGAGTCTAGCATACCTGGATTTGAATCCTGGCTCCAGCACTTACTAGCAATGTGACCTTGTTGTTGTTAAGTGCTGTCAAGTCGATTCCGACCCATATCGACCCTGTATGGGGTTTCCAAGGAGCAGCTGGTAAGCTTAAGCCACCGTCCTTGCAGTTCAAACAACTTTGCAGTCTGACGCATTAGTCCACAGCACCACACGAGGACTCCTTAGGCAAGTTATTTTAATAATCCCAGTACTTTACTGTCCACATTTATATAAAGGTACTCATAGCACTTATTTGAATTAGTAGTAATTTACAAAGGGGCTTAAAAGCATTCCTGAAGAATGGGGGAGAAAAAATAGTGGGATTTTCCCAAGAGTTTTTTGAAGCCCCCTCATGTCAAGCACCCAGAACATAATCGGTACCCAAGCCATAAGTGTATTTTTATTATCTGCTGATCAGTGTTACCCCACCTGTCAGGAAAATAAAAGGTACAATTTTCTGGTAACGGTTGTTCTCTCTCTTCAAGAGCCTGACCATCTTCCTAAGCTTAGGTCAGCCAAAAATGAGCAATAGGAATATGCAAATGATGTACGTGATTTCAGTAGGTCCAAAAAAGGCAGCTGCATTAAGCTTTTATCTGCTGATTTAGTAATTGGCTTTATTTTTTATAAATAAGAAAACTTCAAAAAATTTCTGAAAAACCAAACTCTCAATTTTAGTTCCAGCAAGAGTCCTGGTATGGTGCTGTAGGATAAGTACTAGACTAAGGTCGGTTTGAACCTCAAAGTCGGTGGTTCAAACTCACCAACTGCTCCTCGGAAACCCTATAGAGGGTCGCTATGAGTCAAACCAACTTGAAGGTACTTAAGAACAACATGAAAACAGTGTTAGCAAGTTTAGAAGAAAACAACACTACCTAGGTTAAATCTCAACTTGACCACTTCGTTGTTAGTAACTAAGCATTAGTTTCACCTTTTGTAAAGCTAGGATAAAGTAGTTTGCTTAGAGGCATTAATGATTAAATGAGGTAATCTACTTAAAGCACTCAGTACTAAGCCTATACACTAAGCTAAGCCCTGAGTGCTAACTACTAAGTAAGGAAGGAGAAGGAATCCAGGAGGTACGTCCACTGCATGTTTCTGTGCTTGTTCAACACCCCATTCTGCTGGGGACATTAATGACAAGGGCTGAGGTACAGACTTGTTTTTCCCTTGTTTCTCATCCCTTTTAGGTTGACCTGAACTTCTATGGAGCCTGACTAAATTTATTTGTAAGATTGAGATAACAGAATGTAAGGTCCTAGATAAAACTGGAAGAATAAACGTTTTGTATAATGGCTGGAGCAGATAGGAAAAATTT